CCCCAAAACCCCAAAACCCCAAAACCCCAAAACCCCAGATCCATATAAAATATTGAATAATTCAATTTAAATAGTACATTCTAAAATGAGTTTCCCTAATGCAAAGACTGATAAATGCAGCACCCATCACATTTATGAAGTAGGTCTTGCTTTAAACCATAGGAGCCAGAACGAATCCCTGATTTTTCGTGAGTGATCAAAGTCTGTAATACACCTTTGGTGTATTCCTCCACTTCAAATTCTAGCAGGCAGCAAACCAGGGGTGCCAAGCTAAGAGCTAGAGTTGTACCTAGGACTCGTGAAGGGAGTAATACCTCCGTTCCTGTGTTGAAGAGGACCCAGGCAATACACAACCCTCAACAGATATATAACTTGTAATGAATTGGTTAATTTTTAGCAACCAAGAGAACGACGATGACTATCAGAATCAATGCAGTCATAAATCTAATGGGAAAGACTTACAGTCAAGTCTGAAATTGAAGTTTAAAGATTGGAAGTAATTTCATTATTTTATCAAATATAGCGTTAAGGAATTCATACCCAAAAACTGCCTTCAGACAGTTGAGTATGCTGATAAGGCTATCGGAACAGATTCTAAGATCCTTTTCAGAAACGATAGCAGGCTAGCGAAGTTCCGTAGTAAATCTAACCAGAGGAGTACAAGAACTTTTGGAATTTCAACTGGTATTTTAAAGCCAAATACCAATTCCAACCGAGATATTGCATCTAAAAGTGTGCAAAGTTCTAGAGGTAGACTAGAGACTCCTTATTCAAGAACCAGGCTTGCAATTGAGCAAAACAAGAGGTCTTTCAAAGACTATACACAGAAAATGAAGATAATTGATACCATCAAGCTTACCAAAAATAAAGTAAATTTGTAATTTATTCTGTAGCTAAAACGATTTGAAGGTACTAATTTCTGTATGAAAAATAAGAGAATCAAGACTTTACTAGCTGTTCAGAAGGCTTTAGCAGATAACAGAAGACTTATGAAGGCAGGGAAGATCAACCAGCTCAAGCAATTTGATTTTAAAAAGTTCTTAATGACACGAAAGGAGGGTACTTCTAGTACTAAGATCAATAAAATTCAAGTAGCAATAAAAAACCGGGATCTAAAGATATGTAAGCAAAATCTTAAATTTTAGCTCCAATCAGACAGTTTATATGCAGGTCTCAGTCTGTGGGAAGGACTCACTTCCCTAAGAAGACTTTTTGGAACTCTAGTAAGATCAGAATCAGGTAATATAAATGCATTTTTCAATATATCTAAAAGTATAAGGGGTTTTGGGGTTTTGGGGTTTTGGGGTTTTGGGG